AAAGAAATATGTATGTATTGTTGCTTTTTTAGTAGGCACCTTGGTTTCCCTGAAGAATGAATGATCTGTTATTTTCTTTCAGAATTGGAACATGTAGTTGGCATAACTGTGAAATCCTAAGAAAAGGGAGCGACAATTTCAAAGTTAGAGTTTGCTCCAATAACATCACCCACTATTAATTTGAGTTGCATTGATTATTAAACTCTTTATTCATTTTTTATATTTCCAGTACCTAAATCTATGAACAAGTACAGGTGTAATGCAGAATTATTAACTTCTGCTTCTGGGATTTGGAAGTCGTAGCCTTGAACTAAACTCTCTCATTAAACTAAAAAATATATTCTTATGCAGGAGGACCAAGTAGAGCAGGCTTGATTTGGGTGTGTATGATAATGTTATTGGCAATTTCACACACTATGGGGATCCTACTACCAGTGAAGAGCTTGCTGCAACTCAACTGAAGGAGAAGAATATCTATTCCACACCAAAGCAAGTTAGTATTCTTATGTTTTTAATGTCATTCATTGATTTATAATATCAGGATATGGGCAGTAGGTTATTGTTGTTAAATTGTAGTTCATTGATTCATTATCATTGAGATCAAGCAGCCATCTTAGCATAAAGATTTTTCAATGTCTTAATATCAAACCATGACCTTGTTTGTTAGTTATCACCACTCACCGGTCATTTTTTTTTTGGAAACCCCTTTGTTTATTGCCCAAAATAAATGACTAAATTAATCATATATGAGAGGTGGCTCCCGTATCCATGTACCAATTTTCATCAGGTGGAGTAAGCGACATAGTGTGCATGGCGGAAGCAATATCAGTAGGTTGGGCAGTGGTAATATGGGCCTGCTGGGGATGTGGACCCAGAATACCTGCTGATGAGGAGGGACGAGGAGCATAGCCACTGGGCCCTGAAAATGTGGGGTAAGGACACGGTGGAATACCCCAGGGCTGAGGCATCCAATACTGCCAAGGAGGTGGCATCATCCAAGGACCAGAAGGACGCTGTGGGCCAGCAGGGGCAGGAGGGCCTGAGTTAGAGCCAGGCTGTCGGGAGCGACCTGTGCGGTGAGAGGAACGTCCACGCCCAGAACCCTGAGAACGATTTGGACGAGGAGCAGCTGGCATCGGTGGGGCAGCAGCGGGTCCAATGTGGATAAGGGCAGCAGCAGACGGGTGGGTCCCAGCTTGATATGATTTTCGGGTTTCCTCTAGCAATACCATGGACCGAGCATTAAAAAAAGAGGGAGAGGCTTGGTTTGCTGAATGATAGATGCGACGGTGTCATATGATTCAGATAAACCATTTACCATACGTAGAACCAACCGATCATTGTTAACGGCGGATCCAACATTGGCCAGTTTTGTCGCCAGAGTTTTGAGGGCTTTGCAGTAGGAGAGAACATTAGGAAAATCTTCAAGCCGGGTATTCGAGAACTGGCTCTCGAGATGGACAACACGAGTGTGCTTGTTATCCTGAAAGATGTCGGTGATGCGGTCCCAGGCCTCCTGTGTGGTGGAATCCGGTTCAATGATGGTATGGAGCAAATCATGTGAGATAGTGCCATAGATCCATTGAAGGACAATGGCATCGAGACGAGTCCATAGGGCCTGAGATTCGGCCTTGGATGTGGCAATGGCTAAAATTTGCTCAGGAGTAGGATTGTCGGGCATGGTGGTGGAGGAATCATCATCATCATCCGAAGAGGGGAAGATGTGATCAAGAACTTGGTATGCCCGAGCTGTAATTTTAAAAAGTTCCGCCCATGAAGAATACTCGACATTTTCCATGTCGAGCGTAATGGGAATGAAATTTTTGATGTTGGAAACAGCCAAAGCAGGGTGGAAGGGGGTTGATTTCGGAGAAGCCATGATAGCAGAAGAGAAGGAAAAAAAATCTGATACCAAGTTAGAATTGAATAATTCTCCGTGGAGATCTCTTTGTATTTGACTGCTTTAAATAGCACTTTACAATCAACAAGATAAGCACAATCTATCTACGTATAAGCCTATTCAGTTACAACAGAATACCAAAGGAACGGATAAGCTTACCTTTGGATAATTCCTAACAATAATAATTTATAGTAAAATATTAATGTATATACATGTCACGACTTTATCACATGCGTGATTTTAGTCCAGAGTTGGGGTACGTTGCATGGTCATACAACGTTAATAATCATCATCTCTAAGAGAATAAAATATATAGAGTGGAAGCATGGAAGGATGTAATATTTTATACGAGTACACAATAGCCAATGGTAGTAATTATATCGATAATGATAATATATTGATAATTATTTGATGCACATAATTATCTATCGAACGGTTAGGTTTGCATAAGGCCAGGTATGATGCAATATGTGAAGGACCGAACACCATAGTCGGGATTAGTCTATATGTAATACGGAGTAGTCATTAACAAGTGCATTTACATTAAATATCTTGTACGGAGTAATAAATTAGCATTTGCATTGTTAAATGTTATGCTTTGATCTTTTTTTTTTTAAACTAAAGATATGCTAATTTGATCTTGTAGTACAAAAATATACCAGGAACTCATCAAGTTTAAAAAAGTTTCGGTCCAATTGAATTTTCTCTCACTTTCAATTCATTTAATTTATCTAATTACCTTTAATTGGTTAGTAATAAAAGTTATGAGTTATGATTATGAGTGTTATGAAACCTCATAGATATGGGATCGATTAAATTAGTTTTATCATTCTAGATCCTTGTGTACGTATGATAATGTCAATATTTTCTTTTACGTAATACGTATTTTCTTTTACAAACGAGAAGGAAAATTATTTGTATAAGATAGATTAGTCTTAGTTCAAATTTAAGAAAAGACAACTAAATTAAAAGAAGATGACACGATCTTTGTTAACACACAATACATTATGCACACACACTTGTAAATTAAAAACAATGAAGTTTTTATTCATTCTTTGAAAACTATTGAGGTTGTTGGTTAAGTTGCCTATATCTTGTAAAACGTTTATTGAGTTAATTAGTCACTTATAAAGCTTAACATTAGTTGACAATGAATATTTATTTACCAAATTTTGTGTGGTGATCTTCTTGAATTCAAAAGACGTCATATTTAGCATTTTGAAAAACCCTAAGGACGTGTTTCAAATAGAAAAGTTAGTATTGCCCGAACCTCTATAAATCGTTAGTTTTTGCTACTTTTTATACATATTTGTGTGTGCATCATTCTCTAATATCATCATGCAATAATGTTTTTCTAATTTGAACATTAATTTAACACACACTTCTCAAATTACCCATCTTAATTATCCCGCAATTAAACGAGTGAAGGAGTGTGTTGGTTCCTTCACGAGCTTAGTGGTTCCGCAATTACATGCCTGAGCTAATGTTTTTTTTATCTTGCTCAATTATAGGCTTGCATCTTTGTTTTTGTTTTTATTGTTTTCAGAGGCACATTACTTATAGAATTATAGGACGCTTAATCCACCCTCTTATTAGGTGTTTATTTTCTTTCATAGGTGTCCTAAATACTTTACCACTTTTATCAAAATAAAAATTTGGATTTTATTTTATACGATATTATAACTCCATTAACTTTCTGCTATAAATTCTATTCTTTGTCTATCATTTCAATTTTTAGTTTTGTAAATTAATAAAAAATACTCCGTATGTTATTTTACTTAAATATTACCTCCTTTCTTTTTTAATTACAATAATTTGAATTCACGTTTGCGCACTACTACAATTTTAGGCCTAATGTAACATTAAAGTTATAACATATCTATAAAAGTGTTACATATTTATCTAATGTAACACTTTTTAAACCTAGTGTAACACTTTTTAGACCTAGTGTAACACTTTCTAGAAGCATAAATGTTACATTAGGGACTATAAAGTGTTACAATAGGTAAAATGCAACATGAACAAATGTAATGGTAAAAAAGTATTACATTTTCTCTAATGTAACACTTTTCAGTGCTATTGTAACACTTTTGGGTGATACATTAGGAGTTGAATTGTTGTATACGTAGTGCATGTGCTAATGTACAATTATAATTATAATTATATTTAATTACGTATTAGTAAACATTATAAAAATTTAATATTTTGAAAGTTCACATTAATAGAAATTTATACTTCCTGCGGTCCTAAATAAACTTCACACTCACAATTTATTGGTCAACTTAAATCACTTTTAATCTTTTATTTATATATCAATTTTTAATTAGATTTAAATTTTCTTGATCAGATTTTAATGTAGTTTTCTGAATATGTAAATTTTATTTACTAAAACTAATCGGAGTGTGAACAGGGATCAAGTTGCTTTATCGTCAGTTAAACATCGTAAACCGAACGATAAGTTTATTTAGGACTGGAGGGAGTAATATTTTATACATAATATTTTGATTATATAAATAAGTAGAGAATCATTGTCACAATAAGGTGTGTGAATCATTGTAATAACTAATAGCCATATTTGTGTAAATGAGTTTTATTTTAGTAATATTTATGTAAAAAATCTACTCCGTACATTTTAATCATAAATATATACTTATTTTAATTATTAAACCATGGAGGAAGTATAACATTTTTTTTATTAAAATATGTTACTCCCTCCGTCCCTGAATTATCTTCAAACTTTCCTTTTTCGTCCGTCCCAAAATTATCTTCTCTTTTCCTTTTTAGCAAAGAATTTGTGGTTCACAATCATTCTTACACATTCTTACACATTTCTCTCTCCTCTGCACAACTTTACACCATACAAATCTCACTATCTTAATAAATGTGCCCAGCCGAAATGGGAGAAAGATTAGGGATGGAGGGAGTATTTTACATTGGATGGAAGACACTACCCGGGAATAAATGGGGTAAAAGGGTTTTATTACTCGTACTTTATACGCGTCGCTAAAGCTAAAAGGGACTGTTCAGTCTTTTCAATTTATCACGCCACGAGAATCGCCTATATAAGCACCCAGCTACGAAAACTAGGGTATAAAAGCACCAATTCTTCTCCCTCTTTTCAAACGCCAAGCAGAGGTTCCTTTCTCTCTCTCCCTCTCTTCAATTCCCAACAGTCTGATCCTTCCTCCTCAGAGCTTCATTCTAACTTGCAATCTGAGCGCAATTTTTCCTTCACTACTAGTTTAGTGTTGATTTTGTGAGCTTTTAATAAATGGATTTGGTTTTAAATCTGAATTGCTGGATTCACATTTCCTTACTTTTCATCAGTCGTTGATTGAATCCGATATACGTTAGCAGATCTTGAAATGGCGACCTTCGAGCTCTACAGGAGATCAACGATTGGTATGTGCTTGACGGAGACGCTAGATGAGATGGTATCCAGTGGCATCCTTAGCCCGGAGCTTGCCATCCAAGTCCTTGTTCAGTTCGACAAGGTATATTGGCATACCTTCGTTATTATGCTTCCTAATCACTCAAAAAATATTGATGATTTGCTAGATAAGCTCGACATTTATTTACTTTAAATATGCGAAGTGTGCAGTATCTTGCTTTTGTGCGTGACTGCCTGTATATGGATGAAGATGTCTGTATCACGGATATCTCCAAATTTCCGTTTTTTCTTTTCTTTTAGGTTTAGTATTTCGTTCCTCTTCATTTCATGGCCTAATCGTTAGTGGGTATTTTGATGCAGTCCATGACTGAGGCTTTGGAGTCTCAAGTGAAGAACAAGGTCTCCATCAAGGTACACTTTAAAGTTCAGCTTATACTAGTCAAGGAAAAAAGTCGTGGTGTAACTTTTTTATGGTGGAAAATTTGTATTCGTTGTAAATAACATAAATAGAATATCTTTTTGCTTTCTTTGTGCTGCCTAAACTCTATTTACTTAACAAGCACAAGTACTTCCATAGCTATTTGTGTTATACAACAACATCCAAGCTATTTGTGTTATATCAGAGAAAAAAGACCATGAACCTACATATCAGATAGCTAGATAAAAACTTGACTTCTATCTTCAGCAATTGACTTTTCAATGAGTTGATACTGTTTAATGCCATCTATGTCAAGAGGGCATAGCTTGACTGAAAAATACTCATGAAACTCATGGTGTAAATAAATAGACACTTCATGCATTGTGTGGCAAACTTCTCTCGCTTTACTGGTAATGATTTCAAACCCCACAGCCCCACTAGTTCTTGATTCAGTTTCCAGAAAACTGTAGTTAGTGAATTGCCCAGGAGTTCAACAACACATGCTATCATTGCCTCAGCCTTCTGGAAGCATGGGAAGGTTCCCCTCTCGGGTGATTAAACACCCATATGAAGTGATATTTGCAGAACACTGCAGCATGCCCATGACTATGACTAGACATATGACGATGCAAATCATAGTAGATGGTACATTTCTTTTGGTTGTTCAATGTTAGCTGGAGTTAAGCAAAAGTTAAAGTGGTCTTCAAGAGATAATTACTTAACTTTCTCCAATGTATTATGGATTTTCTTTATGCGGTTAAATGTTGCCCTTTAAATAGTTCAACGTGCTCTATGAAAGCCAAGAGCCCATCTTTTTGTGAATTCGCCAAAAGATTTCCTCAAGCAACTCAATCAAATGTTTGGAATTCTCCATATACATTTTACAAAATGTTAATTACTACTCCCTCCGCCCCCCTTATATTGTCCCATTTTACCTTTTCGGGAAGTCCCACTAAAATTGTCCCATACCATATTTGGTAAAGTTTGTGTGGCTCAAAATCATTCTTACTTTATTCTTACTTTATTCTTACTTTATCAATTAATATCAACCACACAAACCCACTTTTCTTAAAAATTGTGCCACCCTCTTCCGTCCCAATATAAAACGGACGGAGGTAGTAGTTATTAGTTAGTTACTCTGGGAACCGGCTTTTTCCCTGACCAGCTCTTACCTGAAACTGATTGAACTAATCTATACTTAAAGGCATGTGTTCTTTGGATAGTGCATAGTCCATGGCGGGGCCATCATCAAGCCCTCAACGCAATCACATAACACATCAAAATAGGGTTTAAAGTGTGACTTTGGCAATTGAAAGGGTCCTTGAGTGGTCGTTGATGACAAATATAGTCACTTAAGTTTTAGGTAAGGATAAGTTTAGCGAAGGAGGGAGAAACTTTAAACTTATTAAGAATGATGATGTTCTTTTGTTTGGATTACAAAGAAATGGAGGGGCAGTTATATGCTACGTATTATATATAAAATCGTGATTTTAAGGGTACTGTACTCCCCTCCGTTTGACCTTGATATGTAAAGATGGCATTTGTTGTTATATAAGGATGTTAAACATCCACCAATTGACTTCCTCCTTCATTTACTCTATCCTATACAAGAAATGAGACAAGTGCTCTCCCTCCCTCCCTCATATTCCCCTAAAACCATCCAAACCTTTAAGGGCCAATAGTACTGTGGCTGTATGCGGTTCTAGTGTTGGACTAAGAACTGGTGCTTTCATCAATCTGGCACCCTTGTTTGCTTTACATTCAATTCTCCTTATCACATTTTATATGTGTATCGCATAATACATATTGGAATATGATTTTACAGTCATGCGGCATATTGATCCTAACACGAGATTTCCATTTTTTGGGTATTAGGGGCATCTTCACACATATCGGTTCTGTGACAATGTCTGGACTTTTATCTTACAAGATGCTGTGTTCAAGAGTGATGAATGCCAGGAGACTGTTGGACACGTTAAGATTGTGGCATGTGATTCAAAGCTTCTCTCCCAGTAGTGAGATACGTTTGCAAATGATGAAAAAGAAAACCATTAAACAGAGTTTTTCAGTTCTGTTGTTTCATAGAAATTCGATACTACTAATGAAGAAATATGAAAAGCTGGGGGTTTCATCCTTTGGCCACATTTCCCAGGCCAGGGATGGAATTGCAATACATTTCTGTGTCAACCTCGCAAGACTCTACGATGTTAACTTCACTTCATTCCGCCATAGTCTCCTTTTGTCCTTTTGTACTATGGCTTAGTTCAAGTGTATCATCCCATGCTTTGGCGTGCTGAATTTCTAAAGCTTTCGTCTTCATGTATTTATTCTCTATTTTAATGAGTGGATGATTTCCATTTCAAGTCAATCCTTTCCGGGACTTGAATTAGTGTTTGTATTTCAGTTTGTCAAGCATATTTGCTATCAAAGTAAATTTTGTAAATGTCAGTTGATATATAATGTAATTGGAACTGCTATCATATTTCTCTGCGCTTTACATTTATTTCTATATTTTAATTTTCAAATTCCGAACTATGTAAAACAAATGTTGTATGAACTGACCCCATATTTTAATGGTATTTATTATCACAATTTTACTTGCAAATAAGCCTGACCGAAATCTCTCCCACTAGAATCGTACAGGTAAGGTACATGAGACTAGAGAAAACAAGAACGAATGACTACACCAAAAATATCGAGCAACTAAACTATTGTCACAATTCCTCCATTAGAAATAAATTGCTACATTAAGAAACTAGTTTGTAGTTTTGTACTTAAATAAACAACGCGGAATAATAATAAAAAAATAGATTCAAATAGTCATTCAACAAGAAGTAAGTCTAGAAACATCAAAAAGGAGAAAAACGAACAAAGCAAGAAGTGAAAATAATGATTATATTATATAAAAATAAACAAAAAATCCAATTTCTTTTGCTTAATATAAATAAAATAATAAATAAATAAAATCAAACAATTCACCCAATAACAATGAAAAGTAAACATAACGTCATAACCACGGGTTATATACCAATATTAGAGCATTTTCAATGTCACAATGTGGACATAGTACATGAGCTATGAAAGAGATAGACACATAAATATTAGTAAGCAAAATATCTTTCTTCTTATTTGAACGATTTTATATGGTTATGATAAGTTTTTCTCCACAATGTAAAAAAGTATGTCTAGATGTAGACATTGCAGTTGACATTATCACTAAAATTATACAAAATTGTGGAAAGAAGGAGAAAGAAACGTCAATGACACGTCTGTATTTTACATTATTATATTGAAGATGCTCTTATACTAAAAGATCAACTTATTTACAAAAAAAATCTTTGTTTTATGGTTCATGTCAGACACATATTTCTATTTCATATAATTAGTTATTTCCAAGAATGCAATTCATTCTCATTTTTATTTGATCTTATTCTCTTTCCATCCTATTCATTTTTTATTTGATCACATTCCCCTTTCATCAAAACTATATGTAGGTCAGTATGTGTGCATGTATGCGTATAGCACAAATTAGATACAATTAAGTAATATATACACCAAATTAGTAACATCTCAAATGAGCTAGTATAATAATTCAGTTACTCTGTATCATATTTTGCGTCGACATGTTTTTTTTATAGTTTCAATTGATGTCTATATTCATTACCTAATCGTTATATATTTTGAGTCAGAATGGTAATTAGAAGGGAAAGTTCCCGAAATGGGACTAAAAAAGTTCGAAAATTCCAAAATAGGACTGTCATGTTTTTATTCCTAAAATAGGACTAATTACTGCCAAATTTGGAAAATACTGCCATGTTTGAAGTCTGGTACTGCCAAAACATGACAGTAATTAGTCCTATTTTGGGAATAAAAATATGGAAGTCCTATTTTAAAATTTTCAAACTTTTTTAGTCCCATTTTGGGTAATATCTCTAATTAGAAACATATAGATGAAAAAGTAAGAACATACTACATCACTTCAAAACATAGAATTTTACATGATTCTGTTTTAATTACATTTTATTTATTAATTAATAAAAAGTATTTTATTAATAATATTGTTCAATTTGTCTTATCATAAATTATTTTTGAAAATTCGAAGTGTTACGCATATGATTTTTTACTAATAGAGAATTCGATATATGAATGATTAAAATTATAACTTCAGGCGAATTTAACAATAATGAAACACACTTAGACTACTAAAGAGGCATTTGGAACTGATTCTGTTTCTACTTCTTTTTTGAAGCAAACACAGAATCAGAATCAATTTTGAGAATATGATCTTCCCAGCTTCTAAAAAACTGATACCAAACACTCTTTTAGTTTTAAAAATGAAATCCAAGTATTTGGACAATATTTAAACTAACAAAATGGCTTAGCCACAGTCCGTTGCCATATATGGCGCATTACTGTTCTTTCTCCGCCAAAATGGCGTAAGAATTGGCGCTCCCTTTGGAGCAGCTTCCTCGCTCGAAACAAGGAGGAGCCAGCTGACCAATGCTGAGCCTTTCTTCTTTCTTCTTCTAAATTTAGTTAATCAAACTTAGTTTGCCAGTTTAATTTTAGCAAAAATGGTTGAGAAATGAGATTTTGTCTAATCCGAAACCAGACCCACCCATGAAACCACCATTCTTAGCTCTCCTTTTTGTGTTTTTCCTTTCCCCCCTCATTTGATACAGATCATATATGTCTCTCTTGACCATTTCTTCGTCACCTCTCTTCCACAAACTTTTCCCGATTCCAACCATTATTTCCATTCTGAGATGATATTTTTGATCAGATCTCTCTTCCTGTCATCTTCACATTGAATTTGAATTTATGTAGAAACACAACACATTCGCACGGGCTCATCTCCCTAAAACTTGACGATCCTCGTCTGTATCACCCGAAATGGCGTTTTTTTCTGCGAAGCTCTTCTTCCTCCCCGTCATTATATGGATTTTTTTCAGGTAAAAGTAAAATAAACTCAATTCGCTTGCATACTATCAGTTTTGTACTTGTACGTTTAAACGTATTACAATGACATACTATGGAATTTGCTTCATTTTATTGCGAGTTCTTACAGTGACGGTTCTAAAAATTCGTTTTTGATTTTAGTGCAATAGGAGTTTGAAATTTCCAGTGTGCCAATAGGAGTTTTTGTTCTAAAAACGTATTGTACTAGACTAGATAGATTGCAGTTTTTTATTATAAAAGTTAGTGGTTTTATTGATTTTCTTTTTTTAATTATTCGGGGTTGCTTCACTTTGTTTAAACTTTTACACTATATTGTTTATTTTTTGCATTTTGTTTCAGGTATACTACCAAGTTGGTGTTTCTGTTTCTGAGATATGTTATGGGAGTATCTGTGGAGTTTCAAGTCTCAGGATTGAAAAGTTTGAGACATGTTGTGGTGAAGTTAAAAAAGGTCCTACTTTATAGTTTTTTAGCCTTTAAACTGTGATTTTAATTCATTCCTGAGAGATTTGTTATTATTCTTTTGAGGTGCATTTTAATTCTACTCTTCAAAGCTTATTGATATGGATCACTTTTAGTTGATGAACATCTAATTTCTTGAAGTGCTAACAGTATTTAACTAATAGGCATTTTGGGTGAAACATAAATATGTTATATGTCCTATAATGTTTAATGGTAACGACCACCTATACTCAATTCTCATTAAAAGTAGCTGAAGATAATCTTTGTCTTGTCATAGAAATTCTGTTTTGAATTACGAACACCCAGTGAAGTAAGTATTTGGTATAGATTGTCCTTTCTTCCTATTGTATGTTTGAACTTAAACCATCACATGATTAGAAGATGCACGTGCTTCTTTTGTGATATTCCTTTCATGAATACATAATTTTCTCATGCCACGAGGAGTCAACAGGAAAGCAGTTGCTCCTGAACCAGTTTTTGCCTCAGGAGTTAGCTTTTTAGTCATCAAGTCAAATTACTGATTTTTTAATTTCTTATATTTCATGGTAGACACATTCTTATTGAGTTCTATAAAATTCATTTACTGTCCTATGGCTTTAATATTGTCCTTGTCCACGAATACATATTCCCTATTTGTGCATTGCATGTGTTATTGCAAAAAAAAAGACTTAAAGTCCAAGATTTATACTTGCATTACATCAGTTAAAGAAAATGTCATGGACCAAACATGTGATTGAAGCAGTTTTAACATCGCTCTCTCTAACAATAATTTTCTCATTTTGTCGTGACATCTTTTGCAGGGCACAGTTGAGAGCATTTCAATTGGTGAAATCAGATTTAGTGTACGCCAATTGATAGTTAAACTTGTCACTGGATTTTTATCCAGGGATCCAAAACTGAAGGTGCTAATAAATGATTTGGAAATTGTTTTGAGGGCTTCACGCAAGCGTACTCAGAATAAAAGGCCACACTCTTCTCAGAAAACCCACAAGTCAGGATGCAGAAAGTGGACGGTCATAGCTAATATGGCGAGATTTTTGTCAGTATCTATAACTAAGTTGTCTTTAAAGGTAGATCTGGCCTGATCCTGGTGTTATAGTCAGCTTTGTATGAAGTGGCTGTCTTAGGAAATAATTACCCCAAAATCCCAAGTATGACTAAAACACTCCCTCCGTCCCAGCTTAAGCTTCTCACTTGGCTCTTTTGGACGTCCCAGCTACAGGATTCCCATTTATATTTAGGAAATAATTAGCACTCTTAAACGACAACCTAATTGTCAAATGTTAAAAATAATGTACTTATTATCACAATAATCACCAATGACGTCTTTACATTATATACCCCTCAAAACTACTCCTCAGAATATACTCACAACAACAACAACATCCAAGCCTTAGTCCTCAGAATATACTTGAATAACCTTATTTAATTATTGTCTAAATAGCATTACTATTTTCCCTAAGAAAGACTAACATGTTATCATTCGTAAGTTAATATACATTTGATCCCAGATAAATAAGTCAACATGTTTTTTATTCCTTAAATAAGTATTAACATTCTTATTTGGATAGACCTATTATGTTTTAGTCATAACCTGGGGACTTTCTCTAGTTTCAGCATGCAAATAATGTTTTTTGTGAATAAAAAAACTCAAATGATTTTTTACCACCTATTTTATTCTGTAAAAATATTATAGACACCAAAAGCTGCTGTGGAGATCAAAGAGCTGGCCCTTGATATATTTAAAGATGGCTGTGGATCCAAGCCAAGTTCAACTGTGAAGTTGAATCTGGTGCCTGTTCTTGTATACCTGGGTGATACACAGGTCAACTCTAGTCAGGCATCATTGTGTGCTGGATATGCTCCTTCCAAGACATTAGTAGCTTCTTCAGAGAAGACATCTGCTCCTTTTAAATGTGAAGAATTTTCTCTCTCGTGTCAATTTGGTCTTGATAGGTAGATTTCTTTCTCCCCTCATTTTGAAAACACTTTAATTCTTTCTGTTGTTATATATTTTATTTTGGGGGGTGTAGGGAAGCTGGTATGGCAGTTAACAGTGTAGATATCAGAAGTGGAGATGTTTCTTTATGCCTAAATGAGGAGCTAATATTTAAAAAGAGAAGTGCAACGGATGCCTTTTCCCAGGCTGAGAATGTTGTAAAAGTGACCAATGAGTCTGTGTCTACTGAACAACCACAGAAAAAGACTGCTGCAATGGCTATCGAGAAATATGCTTCTATGTTTCCAGAAAAGGTCAGCCATCTTGAATTTATAAACATGTCTTCGCAAAACATTTTCATTTGGGCAATTCATGAGCTCATTACTAACATGCCTTTCCAAACTGCAATCTCTTTTTGTCTTCCCATTGCAGAAAACCCGACCTTTTTTTACAACTCATATTCCTTTACTCTCTTTAGTTTCTTCTCTTCATATAAATTCAGTTGATTGATTTAGTTACTATATAAACATCATAGCTTAGCTTCACTCTACCTAAACTGGATGTGAAATTTGAGCACTGGGGAGAGAGTCTACTGGTGGATAATAAGATCATAGGCATTCAATTGAAGGGCTCAAAATCACAGTTAACTGACGGTGTGGGGAAAAGTACTCGACTTGATTTACAGATGGAATTCAGCGAGATCCATGTATGTTATAATACTTAACTCAAAAAGAGCTACTCTTCATGCAATCATGCATCGATATATTGATAACATTCATACTCTTTTCTTCTAATGTCTGGATTTCTGTTATCCGCAGCTCTTCAGAGAGGCAGGCATTTCTCTTCTGGAGATCATAAAACTGGATATTATCTCTTCCGTTCATATCCCAATTGAGGTATTTATATAATTTTGATCTTCATCTTGTCATGCTTGTCACCTTGTTTGACTGTATGGGGTGTTTTATGTTACAGCCAACCTTGCCTGTTAGGACTGAAACTGATATTAAGCTAGGAGGAGTTCAGAGCAATCTGATAACAAGTAGATTAACTCCATGGGTGCGTCTTCATTCTTCAAAGAAGAAGAAAGTGGTCCACCGGGAAGGGAGCTCAAGTTCTGAAAAACCAAAAACATCTAGAAATAAATCCATTATGTGGGCATGCAGTTTTACTGCCCCAGAGATGACCATTCTGCTTTATGATCTGACTTGCTCACCGCTGTATCATGTAAGATGTTTTTTAATAAATATGTGTATCTGCTTCTGCAGAGTATGAATTTTAGGAGGCTTATTATATATGGTTCACATACAAATTGCAGGGTTGCTTGCTGTTATCACGTATTTCAGCCAACAACACAGCAAGCTCTGGCATGGTAGCACATGTTGAACTTGGTGAATTCAATCTACGCATGTCTGATGAGCATCAAGAATGCTTAAAGGAAACCCTATTTGGAGTGGAAACAGATGTGAGCTCATTAATACATGCAGGAAAGGTTAGGGTAGATTGGGGAAGGAAGGATACAGATTCTTCAGAAGATGTGGTGAAGCGCAATGTGGGTCTCCATGTTGATGTAACAGGCATGGGTATGTTAATGACCTTAAGGCGCCTTGAATCACTTGTAGCAACAGCTTTCTCCTTCAAATCTTTATTAAAGAGTTTTTCTACTTCTGGTAAGAAGAAACCAGGACCAGATATTCAGGGTTCAAAAACATCCAAGCCACCCGGAAAGGGGATTCAGTTCATAAAATTTAATCTTGAAAGATGTTCTTTAAAATTCTGTGGAGACGTGGGCTTAGAAAATGCTGTTGTTGCAGACCCCAAACGTGTAAATTATGGATCTCAAGGGGGTCGAATCTTAATTACTGACTCTGCTGATGGTACTCCCAGGTCTGCAAGTATAACATCTACTGCCCCAAACGACTTGAATAAGTTGAAGTATGATGTTTGCCTTGATGTTTCCAATTTGAGCCTTTCCACAAACAAGGAGAAACAGTCTGTGCAAATGGAGCTTAAGAGTGCCACATCCATGTATCAAGAACACTTGGAAGGAAATAACCTTGCAACTAAAGTAACATTGCTTGACATGCGAAATGCAAAGTTCGTTAGGAGATCTGGTGGTCTTAAAGAGATTTCTATTTGTTCTCTCTTCAGTGCTACTGATGTATCTATGAGATGGGAACCTGATATTCACATAGCATTATTTGAATTGGGGCTGCGGTTGAAGTTACTTATGCAGAATCATAAGGCTAAGGAACCTCATAAAGAAGACACTGAGCCAAAGGATTCCTCTGCTCCAGAAGCACAAAAACTTGATAAACAGCCAAAGAAAAGAGAAAACATTTTTGCAATTGATGTTGAAACACTTAATATATCTGCTGAAGCAGGGGATGGGGTTGAAACTACCATCCTGGTAAAGTCTATATTTTCTGAAAATGCAAGGATAGGCTTACTTCTTGAAGGATTCATTCTTCATTTTAATAATGCAAGAATACTTAGAAGCAGCAGGATGCAAATTTCAAGGATCCCTAATTCCTCCTCCAACAGTGTGTCAAATGCTAAAGCAGGAGGATTCACCACATGGGATTGGGTGATCCAAGCCCTAGATGTTCACATATTTGTGCCATACAGGTTGGAGTTGCGTGCCATTGATGATTCTATTGAGGAAATGATTCGAGCTCTTAAGCTTGTTACTTCCGCAAAAACTAAACTCATGTTTCCAAACAAGGAAGCGAAACCAAAACCCCCCAAAAAAACCAGTTCATCCAAAATTGGGCGTGTAAGAATTTGCATACGTAAACTATCAGCGGAACTTGAAGAAGAACCAGTACAAGGTTGGCTTGATGAGCATTACCACTTGATGAAGAACGGGGCTCGTGAATTAGCTGTCCGTATGAACTTCCTCGAAAAACTTGCCTTAAAAAGTGTCCAATCTCCTAGTGTTGCTGACCAGAGTGATTCTGTTCTTGATCAAAAGATTCATTTAAACGGGGAGGAGATTGATTTGCAAAACTCAGCTATCCAAAAACTGCAAGAGGAAATGTATAAGCAGACATTCCGGTCATACTATCAGGCATGCCAAAACCTTGATCCTTCACTAGGATCAGGGGCTTGCCGAGAAGGGTTTCAATCTGGTTTCAGGCCTAGTGCTGCCAGAATTTCACTTTTCTCTCTGTGTGCCACTGAATTAGATGTAAGCTTGACAAGAATCGAAGGAGGCGATGCTGGAATGATAGAGCTCCTCCAGAAGCTTGATCCTGTATGTCGTGCACATAACATCCCATTCTCTCGATTGTATGGCAGTAATATCAATTTACAGACAGGTTCCCTTTCTGTGCGGATAAGAAACTACACTTGTCCATTATTTTCTGCAACTTCTGGCAGATGTGAAGGCCGTCTTGTGATGGCTCAGCAGGTCCATTCTTCAATTCAATCAATACCATTAACTGTTCTGTGCTCTATAGCTTGATATTTTTACATTTTCTTATATGTGCTTCATATGCTTTTATTCTTCCTACAAATAGTTGTCTATATCAATTTAATAGTTCTCATCAGAATGATATCTTGTGCATTTGTATTAATTTCAGCATGAGGCTGAAGTGATGTTAAAAGTAAATGTTTTTTTTTCTTTTCATAGTATGGTCAAGTGATGAAATCATCGGCATTAACTCCAATGCGAACAATTTGACAATATACATGTGTTAGCCTTAAGACTGAAAGTTAACTACATCAATGCTTTATAGTACTAGAGCCTATGTGGGGTTTACACTATTCACAAGTGCATGATTTAATTGTTTCTGCTGGTGCTGAAACGTGTGTGGATGCACTTCTTGGCAAACCTTCACGGGCTTCACCCTTTGTATCTTTCAATTTCAGGCAACGTGCTTTCAACCCCAAGTTCGCCAAAATGTCTACATTGGGAGGTGGAGGAAGGTCTCTTTGCTTCGGTCAGCTAGTGGCACAACTCCACCAATGAAAACATATTCAGATTTGCCTTTACATTTTCAAAAAGCAGAAATTTCCTATGGAGTTGGTTTTGAACCATCATTTACTGATATCAGCTACGTTTTCTCCGTGGCTCTTCGCAGAGCCAATTTAAGTATTAGGAACCCAAATCCTGATCCTCCTCCGCCTAAAAAGGAAAAGAGCTTGCCATGGTGGGATGAAATGAGAAACTATATTCATGGAAAAACATCTATATATTTTGCTGAGACCAGATGGAATATTCTTGCTACTAGTGATCCCTATGAAGAGTCTGACAAGCTCCTGGTCTTATCTGGTAATATGGAATTGAAACAAGCTGATGGTTGCATTAATGCTTCAGTGAAGGATTTCAAGATTTTGTTAAGCAGTTTGGAGAGATTTATTAAAAACTCCAATTTAAATTTTCCAGTTGGATCTTCTTGTACTTTCCTAGAGGCTCCAGACTTTAGTGTTGAGGTAACTATGGAATGGGAATGTGATTCTGGAAATCCCCTTAATCATTACTTATTTGCACTTCCAGCTGAAGGTGTTCCTCGTGAAAAGGTTTATGATCCCTTTAGATCAACTGCTCTGACACTTTCCTGGAATGTGCTGCTTAGGCCCTCCTGTCATAGTCAATCGGATCCTGGATGTGATTCACTTAATTCACCAACAATTAATGCTGGTCCTCATGATTTAGCCTGGCTAATAAAATTTTGGAACTTAAACTACCTCCCTCCTAATAAAATTAGGACCTTTTCTAGGTGGCCTCGTTTTGGAATCCCTAGAATTCCCAGGTCTGGGAATCTGTCATTAGACAAGGTAATGACCGAATTCATGTTCAGGATTGATTCAACTCCTACTTGCATAAGGTATATGACTCTAGAAGATGATGATCCGGCTAAGGGGTTGACATTTGAGTTAAAAAGACTGAAACTAGAAATTTATCTTGGTCGTGGACAGCAAAAGTTTACATTTGAAAGTGTTCGCGATCCTCTTGATCTTGTTTATCAGTGTGTGGACCTTCACATGCCCAAGGTATTCATTCTTAAAGAAAAGTGCACTAGTGTTGCACAAATTATACAACTGACTAGGAAGGCTTCACAGTCGGCATCCATGAAGCAGATTGGGAATGACAAAAGTGAGAGTGAGAGTATTAGTGGTAGCAAAGAGGGACATCCTGATGATGGTTTTCTTTTATCATCTGATTTCTTTACGATCAAGAGACAATCTCCTAGAGCTGATCCAGAGAGATTGTTGGCATGGCAAGAATCTTTTGGAAGAGATCTTGAGATGACAGATGTTAGATCTGAGTTTGAAAATGGGAGTGAAAGTGAGGACCATGCAAGATCTGAGTTCACTGATGGTGATGGATGCAATGTAGTAATTGCAGATAATTGTCAGCGGGTACTTGTTTATGGTCTTAAACTTTTATGGAATCTAGAGAATAGAGCTGCTGTTTTTTCATTCGTTGTTGGATTGGCTAATGCTTTTGAACCTCCAAAACCATCTCCTTCTCGGCAATATACTCAAATGAAGTTGCTTGAGGAGAAGAGTAAGGTGGTTGAAAACCCTGAGACGTCTCTAGATGAACTTCAAAAATCTCCTCCTAGTCAAGATGTGAGTTCATCACCTCCACAAAATGAAGGGACATCAGAACCACAACTGCAGAGGTCTACCTCAAATTCAGTCAAAGTGGAAAGTCCTAATGCAACAGGTAGTTAACTTAACTTTTTATTCTTCTGTATTGCAACAGGTGGTGTTTAAGAGTACAGACTGTTGATATTGCCACCTCACATATGAGATCTCACACTCTAAGGGTCCAAATGTCCAATGCCTTGGAACATAATTGTCAATCTTCTAGAGCCAATGGGTGTTGCTATTTATGGTTTATGATTTTGTTCTTTTTTGGTCCAGCAAAGCCTAAGACTATTGAAGAGTCTGATGGAGAGGGGACCCGTCATTTCATGGTGAATGTCATTGAGCCACAATTTAATCTTCACTCAGAAGATGCAAATGTAAGTTATATCTGGAACATTTCAGCATAAAAAGAATTACCCGGAAATGACTGGTCTGTTGAAAGAAAAATAGATTCTTGTTTTGGTTATCTCCTATTGATAGTTTCATCAATCCACTTATTGCTCAATTATGTATTCACATATCAATAATGAGTAATTGAATCCATATGAATAGCATTTAGTTGCATCACTAATTAGGACAAACTAAGAATGCTTTAAACTGTAGTTAACTGTAAAGGATTCTCTTCACTTTCATTTGACACGTTCTTTGAATATAAAATGAAAATGGTGACTAGATGTCATGAATGACCATTATAGTTACTATCAATTTGCACAGAAACTTAGACTTGTCCAGAAAGAACTGATCAACCTGATTGAAAAGTTTGGGATTTCAATTCATATGCTAACAATGTATGTTTCCCCCTTATTTGCAGGGCAGATTTTTGCTTGCTGCTGCTAGTGGACGCGTGTTAGCCCGCTCATTTCATTCAGTTATGCATATTGGTAGTGAGGTGATTGAACAGTCACTTAGAGGAAATGTTCAAAACTCAGAATATCTACCACAATTGACATGGAGCCGGATGGAGTTCTCCATGATGTTAGAGCATGTGCAGGCTCACGTTGCTCCAACTGATGTAGATCTAGGGGCTGGAGTACAATGGCTTCCTAGAATTTCTAAAAGCTCACCAAAAGTGAAAAGAACAGGAGCTTTACTGGAACAAGTTTTCATGCCTTGTGATATGTTTTTTCGTTATACCAGGCATAAAGCTGGCTCGCCAGACTTGAAGGTATACTGTATAGAACTGATTACCACATTAGCACTCCTCTCAACTTTCTTTTCATGTAGGTAGATCATTTTATATTCTATTGCAGGTGAAGCCCTTGAAAGAGCTTTCTTTTAATTCTCAAAATATAACTGCAACAATGACATCTCGGCAATTTCAAGTTATGACAGATGTGTTAACCAACCTCCTCCTTGCTAGGGCTCCAAAGTAAGTAGATGTTTATCTCTAGTATAGATCTCCACATTTTGTTGTAATCCCAAATAGTCTATAATTATTAATTTATTCATTTTGTATACACATTCACCCTTTTAATATATGATACATGATGAGATACACAAGGAATGCATGATACACACACTTCATGTAAATAAAATATTTCCAGTGTCACTGCTTTTCTTCTTTGTTTTCTGGATTTGATTATTCAAATACTTATAGTGTTACTATTATTGTTTTTTTCTTCCTGAGGCTTTATGGTTGAAGACTATTGTAGCAAGGTCATGTCAAGTCTTCAGAAAAACCACTAAATATGCCTAGTCTGGTCCATGAAACCGCTTGCTATAGTTTATGATCAATTTACTGGTTACAGTGTTATAAGCAGCAAATTTAATGTATAACATTAGCAATATTGTAAATAATGGGTGCATATCTTGTTCAAGTGATTACATGATTATTTTTATTCAGGGCCCGGAAAGCTAGTCTGTCCTATCCAGTTGAGGATGATGATGTTGAAGAGGAGGCAGATGAAGTTGTTCCTTATGGTGTTGAAGAGGTAGAATTAGCAAAAATCAACCTTGAACAAGAAGAACGTGCTGTGATGTTAATCCTGGATGACATTAGGAAATTGTCTATTCAAAATGACGTATGTGCTGAAGAATGCTTGGAGAAGGAATTTGAACCATGGATGGTAACTAGTGGAAGATCCATACTGGTACAGAATACAGTTTAATTCCGTAGGAGTGCACATTGTTTAGTTCCAAACTCATGTAATTTGTAATTGCTACATCCTTATTAGAGTTATCCTAGTTTTTCATAGTGATCTCTTCTGCATAGCGTAAAATCACTTGCTGGCTGGGTTATTTACTTGGCTAGTACTCGGCGAGTGCTCGGTGAGTACTCCCTACTCGGCCTATGACCTTGCAGAGTAGCACATTACTCGGCCCGAGTTATTATTCCGAGTTACTCGCCGAGTACTCGGCGAGTTAGCCAACTCGGTCAGTGGGTCAAAAAGGCGATTTACTCGGGAGTACTCGGTATTTAACAAAAACATTAACTCCGCTTGAAAAAAAATTAAATTGAGATTATCCTCTGTGTTGTTTCTTATTCTCCCTCATGTTGCCTATTATATTCTTCTCTGTATATTGTAATAAACTCTAAGAATTTTGGATTGTTCCTCGTTTGCTTGTGCTTCTTAAACTGGTGTTTTCATTGTACATTTTCAAGTCTTTGGCCAACTAAAGTGAATGTATTGAATTTTCCCCTGAGACCTGAGTTGCTGAATGCTGAAATAAAATCTCTTAATTGAAAAGGTGAAAAATATAGCTTAGCAAAAAAGCATCATGTTTGGTTTTGGGTGAGCTGCAATTTTCATTTAGGGAACTACCTTTGAGGACTCGTTGTTCGGTAGGTGCCACTTTGAAGTTACTTTGAAGTTCTTCAATTGGAATAAGAATAGGTGCCAAAAAACTGCAGAAAATATTTGCCCTTTCTTCCACTGCTCGTGCTTCTTGAAGTTGTATTCTGGTATTGTATACGTATTATATGCATTTTAAGACAATTTCTATCCTTTTATTCACTTCTAAACATTTAAAGACAATTTTATTATTATATTTTAAGACTACTATATTTAAATATATTTTTTATATTTAATTAATACTAGGCCGAGTAATCACCGAGTAATCCCGAGTAATCGGTCCTACTCGCTACTCGGCCCTTGACCGAGTAGCTACCGAGTAGCGAGTAAACTACCTAGCTTGCTGGAAATGTCCTTAAACTGGGTTAGATAAGTTGGCACTTTTCGTTGAGGCAGCATGTTTTGCATCCAGTAGATGATTCCATATAAAGATGACCTATCCCACTTTCTGTAAGAGGAATCCCTTTATGTTTGATTTCGTCGACAAAAGCTGTGACTGTTAGATTGCTTGTCTTAAAAATTCCTAAGACCATACGGTCATCCCTCCCTATTTACATAGCAGAAGCCTAGGGTTGGATCTATAGGGATTCACAAGTCTTTAACTTAAAAGATAATAGTACTTCGTTTATTGTGTTTTTTCATTTTCACTATTTAGGAAAAGTAACATAAAGGAAACAGCTTGTTGGTTCATACTTGTTTTGGTATGATTTGATATTGTCTTGTTTTAACTATAATATTGGTTACTCTATATTTCGGTTTGACAGGTGAAAAAACTAAAGGAAGAGCTAGCAAGTGCCAAAAAATCTAGAAAAGCTGCATATGCTTCTCTGAGGACAGCCCTGCAGAAGGCTGCACAGATACGATTGATGGAGAAAGAAAAAAATAGAAGCCCTTCACATGCTATGCGCATTTATTTGAAAATTAATAAAGTTGCCTGGAGCATGCTTATAGATGGAAAGCCATTTGCAGAAGCTGAGATAAATGAGATGGTGAGATTCGTATTGAAGTGTAATTATATTTTATTCTCCAACTCGTGTGTCTTTTGGGTTCAAAACCAGTTAAGGAAGTGTAACATTTATATCCTTCTCTAGCAATGAGGATCGCATTCAACGCAATAATGATTATTTTATGCAGTTCCACATTATTTATTCTGAGGTTGTTGATGAGTTGGAGGTGAAAACTGGGTAATATGCAGTTCTATTCATGATTTAGTTTTCAAAAAGTCATCCAATGTCCTAATGTTAAGCCTACTGCTTCTTTTGCAACATTTGTACATTGGATAATGGTTTTGGTGAACTTATTTTGTTTTAAAACCACTCTCTTATATTTTTAAATAAAAATTCACCGTTTAAAAACATGTGGTGGAGGAAAAATTCATTAAGAACCAAGACGGCCCTGTATCACCTTTAGAATTCATAGGGCATACTAACGTCAAACAAACCCAACCAAAATGTGTGATTTAACAACTGAATGAAAACATAGGTGAACAATATTTCATCCCTTGGGTTTATGCTAATCTGGTTATAGTAATTGATTGTTAGTATTTTTTATTTTATTTTTGGATTGCTTACTAAATTCACATTCCCACTTTGTAACTAACCGTTTTTGTTTATCTGAATACTTACTCATTCACATTTTGTGACTTGTGATTTTACATGAATAAGCCTTCTGTTCACATTAAAATGACTAAGAATTGTGTCGTTGTTTATGCAGATTTACGATTTTGACAGGGATTACAAAGATGTTGGTGTTGCAAAATTCACAATAAAATTCTTTGTCATAAGAAACTGTCTGCCCAATGCCAAGTGTGACATGGTTCTTTCAGCCTGGAATCCTCCTCCTGAATGGGGAAAGTAAGCTGTCAGCTGTGCTTCCTTTTTCATTTTATTTCTTGTGTTGAGCCTTGCATTATATCACTTAGGGTTTTTCTAAAGTGCGCTAGTGTGGCACATGATAAGAAAAAACTAATGAGTTGCTTATTTTTTTCTTAAACTTTGATAATGGTGATAAACGTATAAACTTTAGTGTTACTTATATCTATTAGGCTAAAGGATCAAATAGGCCATCGAACTAACTTAAAAAGTGCAAATTACCCTTATATATGAGGCTCTGTCCGGTCGTCGCCATTTGGAGCGGTTTCCGGTGGAATTGTTTGATGAAATTTTTTGAGCATCTTCTTCATTAAGTCTAGTTTACTCATACCAAATTTCAGCTAAAAATTCAATCGCGAAGGCAGTCGAATGAATTTTTGAAGATAACTGCGCAGTTAAACAGTGCAGTACATTTCAAAAATTCATTTGGCTGCCTTCCCGATTGAATTTTTAGATGAAATTTGGTATGAGTAAACTAGACTTAATGAAGAAGATGCTCAAAAATTTTCATCAAAAAAATTTCTAAGGGCACGACAAATGGAAACGGCCGGACAAAGCCTCCTATATAAGGGGTGATTTGCACTTTTTAGGTTAGTTCGAGGGCCTATTTGAGTCCCAAATGGAAACGGCCGGACAAAGCCTCCTTTAGCCTATCTATTATTGAATCACATTAATTTTTTTCTTGATATTATCAAGTCCTTTCATGAAACTTGAGAACAAAACTCATGAGTTGCTCTTTATCACATGTCCATGGGCATACACAAAGTTGCATACCTTTTTTAAACAAATCACAATGTATCCAATCTTATCAAAACTACCCTTATTTATGGACTCACCACATATTAAGTGGTGATCGAGTGTTGTTAGTTTCTAAAAAATTGATGTCTAATGCTTCTAAAATCACAAATGTCATTTCTAGCCAAGAAATATAACTACATGTTAGCAGTTTAACAATTGCTCTGTTCTGTAATTGTCATTGCCCCAAAGGTATCCAAAAACAGGAGAATCTCAATACGTCTCTTATCCTTCCATTGACTTGCTCTATCTCATGGGTGCACACATGTCTTTTTTCTTCAGTATGACTATTTGAACGTGAAACCTATTTTGAATTCACCAATTATTTTGAGTTCATACATCAAAGAAGTTTTTTGTAACGCAATGGGTTGTGTGATGCCATAAGCAAAGATAATTTTCTTTTATGTGCTTAATGGACTAATGGTCTTATGCTGCCTCTGAATCTGCAGAAAAGTGATGCTTCATGTTGATGCGAAACAGGCCCCCCCAAAAGATGGACACTCTCCTATTGAACTCTTCCAGGTATTGGCTCATTTTAATTTTATGAAACCAGTGATATTTCCTTCTGAAGAAAATTGTAATTGTCAAAGCATATTCACTTTCTTCTAAGAATCACAACAATAGAGTACTTTTTATCCTCATAATGCCATCATACCTAGGAATCAACCTATGGATTTTCACTATGCAGTTAAAGACTTAAAGTACTACCTGAATGTTTACAGTTTTGGAGTTTTACATTTCAGAGTACCTTTTTATATGAGATGCGGAAACCCCTTTTTTGTTATTTGTGCGAAAAATTCCTGAAACATTTGGGCATCTTCGTCCAAATATATTTTTCTTCTTGAATGGATAGGAGATTAGCATAGCAGAAATTTGAATTTCAACCGCAAAAAAAATCATTTCATAAATTCGTACAATGTAATAAAAAAAAGTTGCACATTGGAAAAAGCTGCTTGACGAAGTTGGGGGGCTTGGACCTGCCCCCCACTGTTCCATTTGATGCTAGACACTTGTAGTTCACGATACATTTCACATGCCACTTGACCTTTTGTTTTTTTTGCCCAGGCTACGTCATAGAGTACTTCGTTGTGTGTGAGACTGGGAGGATGGGGTCAATGCATTGTGTGACTAAGGTGTTAATTTTCCTTGTATGTTGGGGACAATGTTCATGAGTTTCTTTTTCAGGTTGAGATCTACCCTTTGAAGATACATTTGGCTGAGACAATGTACAAAATGATGTGGGAGTACCTTTTTCCAGAAGAAGAACAAGACTCCCACCGACGGCAGGTAAATGGAAGTAACAAATGAGTGTAAAAGATGACATTGATTAACTTAAACAAATACATAAAAGTGTATTTATGAGAGCACTCTTTTGCTATGCTTAGGAAGTCTGGAAAGTTTCGACTAGTGCTGGTTTAAGACGTGGAAAGAAAGGCTCACCAGCACTTGAAGCTCCAGCGGCCACCAGCCCCTTAACTAAAGAATCTCATAGCTCTTCCAAAGCAAGCACCCCCTCGGTACCACAACCTTCCTTCGCAGATTCATCTGATGTGAGTTTTCAACACCTTAAAGTGTTCTTGTATACATTTCAGTGTGTTTCAGAAGTGGACCATGAATTTTATTACTGTCCAGATATTGATAGAATTCATAATTGGATTGGAGACACTCGACTGGATCATAGTGCACGTGGGACGAATCACACTAAAAGCTTGACTTTAATTTATTAGATAATCTAACTCAAAACATGATAAACACACGCCTCCCTAATATTTCGATATGGAACTCTTAAGAAATAGTGTAAAATGCTATTCTTTTGAAGATATAATGAGAATAATATATTATAAATGTGTAAAGATTCTGTCAAGTTAAGCTTTTGGTCAAAACAATCAGTTGAGATGGATCATACTATTCAGTTCTTTCAGCTTTATTTATTTTTTGCAGGGACCCAAGTTACGAAGGACAGCTTCCTTTGATAGAACATGGGAAGAAAATGTTGCGGAATCAATTGCTAATGAACTTGTATCCAAAGTTCAATCTTCAGGCACCTCTACGTCAAAGGGCAGTTTGGAGCTTCCAGATGACACTGTTAAAATTAAATCAAAAGATTCCAAACTTGTTAAATCTGGGCGTGAGGAGAAAAAGGCAGTGAAAGCAAATGATGAAAAAAGGCCCCGAAGAATGAGAGAGTTCCAGAACATTAAGATCAGTCAGGTTGGTTGTCCTGTTTAGATTCTGTAGTAATGTGTGACTTCTTAAGTTGACAACTTTTCATGTCCAGCCGGCCTGACGGGAACTGCCGTCCGGCCGAGGGCATTTCGGGCACTTCCCGGTGGAATTTTTGATGAAATTTTTTGAGAATGTTCTTCATGAAGTCTAGTTTATCCATACCAAATTGTAGCTAAAAATTCAATCGGGAAGGCACTCAAATAATTTCTTGAAGTTAACTGGGCAGTTCATACATATAAACTGCGCAGTAAACTTCAACAAATTATTTGACTGCCTTCCCGATTGAATTTTTAGCTGCAATTTGGTATGGATAAACTAGACTTCATGAAGAACATGCTCAAAACATTTCATCAAAAAATTCCACCGGGAAGTGCCCGAAATGACCTCGGCCGGACGGCGGTTCCCGTCAGGCCGGATGGACAGGAAGACTACTCTCTTAAGTTTATTTGACGATTTTAGTCATCATCATCATCTTTACCCCAGTGCCGCAAAGGCTCCCACCTACAGTGGGGTAAGGGGGGTCGGATGTACGCAGCCTTACCCCTGTTAACGATTTTAGTATTCGAACAAAATTTGACGAGATTGTTATTATGGTAATATAGGTAGAGCTGTCAGTGACATATGAAGGATCCAGATTTGCAGTAAGTGATCTAAGATTGCTGATGGACACATTTCATTGTGCTGAGTTTACCGGAACCTGGGGGAGGCTATTCTCACGAGTTAAGAAACACATCATATGGGGAATATTGAAATCCGTCACCGGGATGCAGGTGAGAGTGCCATTTTCTCCCTCTCAAAGAAAATATTTTCCTTTTTTTTTGTATATCTGAGGCAACTATGTTGATATGAAATTTATATTTAGTCAAAGAGTATGATGACTCAATATGTCCCTAATATCATTGTACCTGATTAACCTTGATGATGATGTGAAATGACTTACACTCTGGTCGTATTTGGGGTTTTCACATTAATATGCCTAAAGAAAAAGCTAAAGACTAATGCGCTGCTACTTTTTAACAATTTTAAAGAAGGTGAGTATATGTCACTGACACCACAAATGACTTTTTCAGAGGTTTTGTAAAAAAAATCGCTAGACGGCGGTGTCAGCGGTTGCAACAGCTGGGCAGCTATGCTGAGGTTGGGGGACAAGAAATTGGGATATATTTAGAGTTTTGAGATCATTTAAATCAAATCTTTTTTTTTTGGGGGGGGGGGAAGTAAAAGTAAAAGCTGGTCATACTTTAGTCATCACAACTCATAAATATATTTGTACAGATTAAGAAGTTCAAAATAGGTAAAGACCACAGCCAAAAGGACAGTGGTGGCAATGGTCCTGCCATAGAGCACAACCACAGCGATAGCGATGGAGGTTTAACTGCCGGGACATCGGAGCAGCACCCACTGTCCTGGCCGAAGCGCCCCAGTGATGGGGCAGGGGATGGATTCGTAACCTCTGTGAGAGGCCTTTTTAGTTCTCACCGCCGTAAGGCAAAGAACCTTGTGCTTCGAACAATGAGGGGGGAAGCAGAAAATGATTTGCATGGTGGAGAGTGGAGTGAAAGTGAGGCAGAGTTCTCTCCTTTGGCTAGACAACTATCTGGTTCAAAGGCCCGGAAATTGATCCGGCGGTACACCAAGAAGTTTAACCCCAAACTGCATAAAGGTAGCAAACAACCCCCTTTCTCTCTTTGCTTTTTAATTTTTTTCTTTTTTGAGTTTCTTTAACTCATAATGCTAAATAGGGTACTCACACCTGTCAAATTATTCTATTTACTTTGTAAGGTTACATAATCTTTAATGTAAGGATTGATGAATTCAATGTATGTAGTGTAATGACCCATGATGGCTTGGTAGAGATGAATTCTATTTTATTAGATGCTCCACCAGGTTATTCACTGTTTTTAAGATGAAAGTAAAGAGGTTGAATAGTAGGAAAAAATAGATGAACTAGAAACAGTACAAAAGAAAACTCAAAAGGCAAGGATATATATATATTGATAGGATGGAAATTGCCAAATTAGGAAACTAGTACAACCATTCAAGAACTTTATAGAAATGATTACGGAAAAACTAAACAATGGCAGGGTGTATTGTTTATATTCATTTTCTCTCTTGGTTGGCTTAGGGTGTATTGTTTATATTTATTTTCTCTATTGGTTGGCTTAAACTTGTTTCTATCTTATAAAACAGGTTCATCGACTGTGGACGGAGAATCAATTCCCTCATCACCACACGATGCAATGTACGACAGTGATGCTTCAAGTGAATCCTCGCCATGCGAGGATTACCGCGAATTGGAATAGGGAATTTGAGTAAAATTAGTAGCATGTTGTTGGTGAGTAGTCATATGGAGCCAAACAGAGTCCAATATAGAGTTCGATGGCTTATGTGGTCGATACTCGATAGGCCTAATCACCGTTCACTCATTTCTAATTTTTGTACTATATAGGCCCCTTTAAAAAAATGGTGATTCTAATGTCACATAAGCCATCGGGGGCTCCCTAAAGGAATAATGTGTGATTCCTTGAAATTTTGGTGTTGTTGATAAATGATAACAAACGATTTGGAAAGATGCAAATGCCCAGTAGAGGTCGATATATATGCGCTATAGATTTAGCGCATGAGACTATGAGAGTCCTTAATTTTTGTTAGGTCAGTAGTACTTTATTTAATACTTAAAATCACCAACAACTACGTGATCTAAAAAAAATACCGAGTAATATTAAAGCTAGATGTTGTGTCCACATTATAAGCTACATGAATACATGATCTTACAGAAATCAACATGGAAGCTTCATTGCTGAGACCTGACTACAAAGAACAGTATACATTTGTCTTCCTAAGACATTTACATGTCATAACATTAGTATTTTCCTTTGATGTGATAACAGAAACATAAACTTTGGACTTTGGGTAATCAAGAAAACAAGCTTAAAATAAATTACAAAAATCAGAAGTTTTTACTGCTGACATCATCTAAACGAAGCAATGGATGAAGAAGTTCTCTCCAAACCATGCCAGAAACAGCATTTTCATTTTCAAGCATTGCATCAAAACATCTCAGTCCTTCCTCCAGTCTCCCCTCCTCACATAATCCCCTAATGATCAAAGCATACAATGTCTGTTTCACATGTACCTTTCGGGCCTTTCGGCTAATCATTTCCTTCAGTAACCCAAGTGCCTGTGAAACATTCCCTCTGTCACAATAACCATTTATCATTATCTCAAAATAATTACACACATCAGAAACCCCAAAACTGCCCCCACCCTCCAATCTACAAAACAATCTCTCTGCCTCAACAATTCTTCCTTCACTCCAATAACTACCTAGAATCTGATTAAATGAACTAGAAAAAGCGCTTATTGTCTTGCCACCTTTAGTTACATCCCTTAAAATCTCCAAAGCTTCTTCAACTCTGCCATTATCACATAACCCCTTAATGACAAACCTTACCATATCTTCCCTCCTTATTCGTCCTTTCTTACTCTCCACTTTAAAGAACTTCAGAGCATCTTCTCCCCTCCCTGCCCGAAAAAGGGCCTTGATGAAGGAACCATACACACAAACCTCAAGAACGTTTCTTGTATTCATCATATCTTTCAGCAGATTCTCTGCGTCATTTATCCTTCCCACGCTGCATAAGGACCTGAAATAAGCTTCATATGCTATAACTTTTGGAACCTCACAGCTCATTTGGAAAATAGCCCTTCTTCCATTTTTCACAACTCCAACCTTTCTTAACATGTCCGAACTGCTACTACAATTTTTAATCAGTTTCTGGAACAGTTTATTCGCCTCTCTTGATTTACCCGATTTACACAGTGCCTGCAGGAAGCTTCTGTAAATGCATAAACCAAAATGGAAATTAGGTTTTACTAATTTCCTCAGAATTAGGTCAGCTTCAATCACTGCTCCATTTCTACAGAAACACTTAAATATCACAAGGTAGCTCAAATCATCCACCGGAATCCCTCTGTTAAGCATTTCAGTGGAAATCTCTTTAGCCAAACCACATTCATTCACATTGCACAAAGCCCCAATTAGAGCAACAAAACTCTGCCTTTCCAAAATTACCCTCCCGCCCATCATAACTCTATAGCAAACCTTCTTAAGTTCGTCTGCATTACCATATTTGCAGACGTGTATCACGTAATCAGAAGCATGTATTCTAACCTTAGACCCACAAATTTCAGCCCATACCATCTCGACATCATCAAAGTTCCCGTCTTTGACTAAAAAATCAAAGACTAAACCATACAAGAAGTGGTCGGAAACATTTCCTTGACGTTTGAGGTTGAAAACGACAGCCTTTGCCCTCTGGATTTTCCTGGCTTGGCATAGAAAATCAACAGCGATTACTGATATTGCCGGGGTGAAGATGTGGGTTTGGGCCAAGAAGGAGTCTAGAGTGGTCAGAGTTTTGTAGTTCATTGGGTTCTTCGAAAGGGATCCGATGAGGCTGCAGACGGACCCGAGGTAGTGAAGTGGGTCCGGAGGGACGGTGCTTGCCGCGGCTGCGTGCAGCCTTCTGCATGTTGATGGCGGGGGAGAAAGAATAGAAGAGAGGAATCGACGATGAGTATGAAGGATCTTGTGGAGTGTTGAAGGTTTCATGAGCGGCCCTTCTGGTGCGTCAAATTATATTGGCTAATTAGCACCCATTTTTGTTTTGATCGGATAATTATTTGGAAAATTGTAGTAAAAATATTGGGGTTAAGACTACGATATTACTTAAAAATTCTCGGTGAACAAAAATGAGTACTTATATTTTAATTTTCAAAAATGAGACTAAAATTTACTAATAGGACCATTACACCCTTAATGAACTCAAGACCACCTAGCTTGCTACAGTGACCCAGTACAAAGACCAAAGTGACCAAAAGTGTTCAGTGACCAAAGTGACCAAAAGTGTTCAGTGACCAAAGTGACCAAAAGTGTTCAGTGACCAAAGTGACAGTTACCAACACTCAACGACAATCGCCTCACTAACCACCGGAGTTGTGGTGACCACCCGGCTCTAGTTACCACCCGACCACAGTGACATCACTGCCCAGCCAGTGACCAATCGATGACTGCCATCTCCGAGCATTGCCGCCCCAACCCTAGCCCCACCAGTTTGCCCATTCCCTTCCCCTTACCCCATCAGTCCACTCCAGCCCTGCCCCTGCCCCACCAGTCCACCCCAGCCCCCGGTCAACCCCTTCCCAACCAGCCCTACCTCAACCCGCCCATGTCACAGACATTGCCTCGCCGCCGACACCGGCGCTTCACGCCTTCACCGGCGACACTGCGGCCGTCGCCTCCGATGGTGACACTCCCTCTGCCCTCTACCCTAGCCCCCTCCCAAGCTCATAGAACCATTTTATTCTCAGCCCAACCTTAGCCGCAGCCACCCTAATCTGGATCTAGACCGCCCACCGCAACCCCAATTCAACCTATAACCTCAAAATCCTAGCCGCCAGTAACCTCGTCACAAATCTGAAAATGAGGACGACGATGGCGTGCTCCCCTGTTCGACCTCGCTCCTGTATCTCCTCAAAGCTTAATCAATCGAACAGAAAATAAGAAAAGGAGAAGAAGAAGAAGAACAGAATGGGAGACGACATGGGATGTGACGTAAGATGACGGCCGTACCACATAGAGGCCGAGCTTGAGAGAAGATGAGAGGCGTCAGTGCGAGGAGGTGCTGCGCCGACGGAGGAGCTTTGATTATCGCGGAGTCGACTGATGCGGCGGCCATGGATGTGCGGTTACAGGTGAGAGGATTTGGACGAGAACATTTGGAATTTGGTAATAAGGGCTTTGAATCATACTCCGTATTATATCAGGGGTGTATCTGTCCATTCATTTATAATTAATCCTATTTCAGTCCAAATTTAAAATAGGTCTTATTTTTGTCTTTTAGAAGTGTGGGAGTATTATATCTGTCATTATTTCAAAAATATTTCGAAATTTTAAAATAAGGCTGTCATGTTTTATCCATGAAATATGGGTAAATGTTGTCATGTTTCGACAGTATTAGACTTAAAACATGACAATATTTGTCAACCTTGACAGTAATTACTCATATTTAGGAATTGAAAATATGACAGTTCTGTTTTGAAATTTCACAACGTTTTTACTTCTATTTCGGTAATTTTCCCTAATTTTCTCCAATTCCATCTTTTTGTTACGCCATACTCTATCTAATTCATATGGAACCTGCTAGTAGGCCTGAGATCGTTTTGGTTCCTAGTTCCTACGCAAAATAGATAGAACCATTTGAAATATATCAAATCTTATAACGGTTTGTTCTTATCAATTATTTATAGAACCAATACGGTATAGAACCATTCCTTTAACGGTTTGGTTCTTGTCATTTTACGATTCCTAGTTTATACAAAAAAAAAATACAGATCACTGGTAAATTTGTGCGACATAAAGACATTCAACATTTGAAGTTACAAGAAATACAAATATGTTTATCATCATTTCAAATCTCAAAGTTGAATTTATAACATAAGTATATAACAAATTGAAAATTTTAGTAAATAAAACAAAACAGGATATTCACTACATTAACAATTATGATCTTCAATCAACAACATAAATTAGTAGATGTATAAGTTTTGTGAAGAGCAAAGCATCCAATAGACCAATTCCAACTAGTCAATTTAACATAAAAATAAATAAGTAAATAAACATTAATATATATATATAGAGAGAGAGTAGTGTTCGTGTCAGGACCTTCAAAAACGGACCTCCATACGGACCTCAGCATTTGGGACCCTTCCCGGTGGATTTTTTTGATGCATTTTTTTGAGCATGTTATTCATCAAGTCTAGTTTACCCATACCAAATTTCAGCTAAAAATTTCATTGGGAAGGCAGTCAAATGATTTTTTGAAGTTAACTGCGCACTTTATATACATATAAAAATGCAATTAACTTCCAAAAATTATTTGACTGCCTTCCCGATGGAATGTTTAGCTGAAATTTGGTATGGGTAAACTAGACGTGATGAAGAACATGTTCAAAAAATTTCATCAAAAAATTCCACCGGGGAGGGGCCCAAACGCCGAGGTCCGTACGGAGGTTCGTTTTTGGAAGTCCCGACATGAACTTTCCTCACTCTCTCTCTCTCTCTCTCTCTCTCTCTCTATATATATATATATATATATATACACACACACACACACTACGGAGTAATAAGTAAAATAAGTTCTTTTAATTATTATATACACCGTATATATAATGATTCTTTAACAGTTTCAGCTACATATTTTTTCAGAACCCGATAATCGAACCATTAACAAATAATGAATAAATAAGAAATAGAAACCGAATCAATAACAAATACTCCCTCCGTCCCATTAATATTGTCCCGTTTTACCTTTTCGGGAAGTCCCACTTAATATTCCACCATATTTGGCAAAGTTTGTGTGATTCTAAATTATTCTTACTTTATCCTTGCTTTATCAATTAATATCAACCACACAAACCCACTTTTCTTAATAACCGTGCCACCCTCTTCCATCCCAATATAAATGGGACGGAGGTAGTAATTAATAAATGTTGGAACTGAACCAGGTCATGACGGTTTGGTCCGATTCGTTTTACGGTTCTTGATTCCAAAGTC